GGATATATGAATATGACTGGTCTAAATTTTACCCTGCCAATAAAATGTATTTTAAAGATCTTATCAATTTTGATCTTGTTCCTGTTAATACATAGATACAGTAATATAATTTTAAAAAAATATTTCATTTAAAAAAATACGGTAATAATATAGTTGAAGTTTTCACTCAACCATATAATTTGTTACAAAAAAAAACTCAACGGCACTCTGGGCAAAGCCACAAAATGCCAATTTAAATCTACTCTTATTACTTCGACACCTCGGGGTCTCTCCTTCAATAAATATAATGCGTCCCTCAACAAAAATCGGTACAAAATTCATTTAAAGCGTCCCCTGGAGGATATTATAGACACCTGGATTGTAATTACAGTTATTGAAAAATGAATACATTTAGATTAGTATCTGCATAAACATAAATTAGTTGAAGTCAACGTCGAAACGACTGTTTAACGAATCGAATTCTACACGAAATATTTTTTGTCGTATAAACCACCTACTTACTAATAATTTAGTGTTTTAATCGAAATAACTGTAAATATTTCTGCATTGTCTTATCAGATACCCTTCGGATATTTTAAGCAAATCTAGGGCTATCTAGATAGTCTCCCAACTGTATATAAAATTAATATTCCTATAAAATATTCTTCAATTCCCGCACCTCTTCTCTAAGTAAGTATATACAGTGAAAATCGCTCTTGTTCACAATCACAGAACATGCGTGAATCTATGAATAATTTAAAAGGCTCACCCCGTCCTATCTTAACACGAAATCGAAGGGAAATAGTTTGTTAATTTCGCGATTGCGTTGCTGATGTATTTATTGTTGATTTTAATTATGAAGATTATAACGTCAGGAGAGCCGAGAATCCCCTACTAGAATTCCTGTTATTAAATAAATAGAAGAAATACCTAATAAGAAAACAAAGAGAGGCGGTCCCGAAGACTTTTAGCTAAGCGACCAGCACGCAAACGTAGATGTTTATTAATTATTTGTTTTAATAATTGCCTGCATTTTCACACAATAAAAAATAACTAACAATGCAATCGCGGAATTATAAGATAGGTAGAAGCATATTAATTACCCTCGTTTCGAAATAAAAAATATCATTTTAATCTAAGCTAACTGCAGAATGGAATTTCAGTTGTAATTTTCTACAAATAATGCAATTTAATCTACATTTAATCAAGTTTAAGAACATCTCCCATTTGTCTTCAAAAACACTTTTTTCATGTTTAAGTAGGTACCATAATATTTGCAAAATTTTTCAGGTTAAATTGTTATGAAATTTGGAATGAATAAATATGAATAGTATAGTAGCAAATGCAGTTTACATCACATTTTAGACCACCTTGTATGATAGTTAGGTAGTTATAGTAGTTATAGTTGTTTTTAGTCCACTATAGAAAAACACAAACTTTTTGTATTGAAAAACCAACGTAAATCTCCAAGATAGAAAAGCGTTTCGAAGAACGTATTCCAATTAACGCGGCGTCTATTATCAAAACGTCATTAAACATGCACATAGCATGTTTGATGTCGCCTTTACGAGTCGACCAAGTCGTGCATTAGACGCTTCCAGCCACCATTTTTAGTTATTAAGTGACGACTGCTACATATATTAATTTTCTAATGCTATCACGTTAATTTTCCACACTGCAGGACGTACTAAACACGCGAAGCCATCGACGTTTTATCATATGCACGAAGGGACGTGTTACAGCGATTTTAAAATCGTTTTGCCTAATCAAAATGCATACTCCAGGGAAATTTCAATGTACCTGTTTTTTTATAGACCTTGTAAAAAATATTTTATTAGCATTTCACATTCCTGGTCGTAATCGATTTATTTGTTGTTTTATTCGTTTGATTCAAGTGAAAATAAAACGGAATTAAAAATAAAGCTCCTAATAGCGTTTTACAGTAAATTTAAAAATATAACGACCACAAAAGTCGGCGCATCTATAAAATTTCGTCAACTTTCGTTCCGGATAAATTAGAAAAAGGATCAAAACAAAAATGTTCATCTAAACTCGAAGGGCTTTAAATGAAATTAAACTGAAATAAGGAAACTGGGAGTTTTTCATTCGCCGAAACGGCGATTTAATAGCCAATGAAAATTTTATTGCGCTCGCCGGGCGCGAAAACAAATTCGTAGGTAGCAAAAGTCGATCTTGACAAATGGCGTATAAATATCCTACGTTCGAAAATAATTCTAAATAATGGGATATCGCAAGTTGGAGGCCTTAAGGAATTCAGAGAATTCGGAATTTATGATGGAATAGTTTGAAAAATACCTACATACAAAGTACGTTTCGTATAAAAGTTGAGATTCGTTTTTACATAAGGAAATTGGTTTTCTGTCGCTGCGCTCTAACGATAAACATTTTATTTAGCTATTTTATTTTTTACATTTAAAATGCTATGCAATGTGAACAAATTTGAATCTTTTAAGAAAATTTATTTCAAAAAATAACTGCTTTATGGCAAAGATTTCAAAATTTTTATAATTTCGCTTAGATTAATTTCAAAGAATAAATACATGCATCTGATTTCCATTAAACTTCCTTCACTACCTAATAATTCTAAGTCAAAACTCAAACGGATTCCAGAGATACGAGCAATTAAATCAATTTACCAATGTCTTTTCGTTCATTGCCAAAAAAATTAAAAACGCTTGAGATTAATATGAGCGTGAAGCAAAGGAAGCACGGCTGAAATGAAACGAATGGCTTGCATATCTTAACAGGTTTATGAGCAACTGCACGCCGTGAAAATACTAATTATTCATAATTAATATGTAACATTCTTGCTACTGTTATATTTAAGTAGCTTCGGACGCAACTTTTCAACTTACAACTTAATTTATGGTTTACCAGAATTAGGTAAATATCTTTATTTTTCGACCGCAATTTGAAAACTTGATGAAAACATTGAGAAATTATGTTCAAGTTTTTCTTTTTTTTACCAATGTTAGTAAACGTTTTCTTTTTTAGTTTTCAAGTGGATTTTGTTTAATACCGAATGATGGCCGTTTAATATTTTGGTTTGAATAATCCGTTACGGCTATCGTATTAAGGAATTCTATTTTACTATAGGCTTTTTAAGAAAGAATAATGGTTCTAGTCGAGTTAGAGAACAATTAAATGACTTCTTAATAATTCATGAAATATTTGAATACCAAGCAATCTAGTAATTGCTGAGTTATTTTGAACGATTCATTGTTAAACGGACAATAAATTTCGATTAAGATTTTTATCACCAATTTTTAAATCAAACTACAATTAAATTTGAATTGTTGCTTTCAGATTACTGGGTGTTTGCCCTTATTTTATCAGTGGTCGTAGAAGAAATATAGTCTACAACAAGCAAAATCTAATTAGAACTCTCCATTTTACAGTCACATATTTCATGTGAAAATCGGATTACTTAAAGAACTAACAATATTTCAAAATTAACAAACAGATTATGATGTGGATAATTTTTATTTTTAGAAGCGTTGTGAAGAGGTTATAGTGATGAAATTTTACATGTAATGCCTTATTTTAGTGGCACATTAATCATATTACGTATATTAATTTTTAATTTATTTGTCTCTTTTGAAGTTTTTATGATTAAGAGAAGCCCGAGGATTTATTGAAATATTTTTAGTTGCTCGCCTCGCCGAGCTCCCATAATTCATCTAGTTTTGGAAAATGTTTTGAGCAGGAGTATTTTTATATAATTATCTTACTCGTATTAATAATTCCTGTATATTAAAGTACAAGCCAAATTAAATATTCATTTTACTAACAAAAAATTAGAAATTTTAATATACGCATATGTTTCGAAAGCACTGTGAGAATATTAAATTTATGAGCAACACATTTTTGTGGAAATGATTTTTTAAATACAATTTACTTGTTACATTTACAATGAACTTCTTCGGATATAAATAAATTAAGTGACGTTTTTAACCGTTTCCTGATTTTTGAATTTTTTTATCCTAAATTCGTGTGTGATGTGATGTATCAAATGTCGAAATATAAAATAAAAATAATAAATTTACGAAATGCATTTTGAGTTAATACCAACTTGACAAATGATTGACATGCGCTTAAAAAACAGACTATTGAATATATGATAAAACGTTTAGAGAAACCACAATTTCTTGTACCTCTTTGATATTTAATCGGACCATAATTCTTCTCGATAGATCTCGTCGAATTCACAACGATATCATAGCAGGATTCCTTTTCGGCCAGGCGCGTCTAAATAAAATGTTAATAAAAACCAGAGATATTAAAAACTGTAAGACGAATACAGGAAGAACGACGACAGTTATATACTTGAAAATAGCACAAAAAATCCCTTCGGCTCGTTTCGAAGTGGGAACTGGAACGCGCCCATATATCTTTCTGCGTTTATTTATTCCAGCCTATAATTCATGGATATTATAATCAACATTAACACCCCATTAACGGTCCAGTTTATGAATTTATTGATAGCGAAATATGTCGGGAGGCCGCTCTTCGTTATTAAGTGCTTACACATGTATCATAACACATGTCTAAGAATAATTTTTATTGCGCGACCACAAATGCTGGAAGGGTGACAGTTAATCAAAACGAAATTACGACACTGGATTGAATAATTGCGACAACGTGAAATATTCGACCAAATAGTGAAACAAGACACGAGCTTTAAATTCTTTTACACTGCGCAAAATTATTTCTTAGTTCTCCCAATTTCGTGCAATGTGAATACAGCTATAGATTTTATTGCATTCAGGTAAAATAAATGTCATTGACAACTTCTTCAGTCAGCTGTAAGGTCTCAAGTGCACCCTTTTTAACTTTGTCGTTTCTTTCGAGAAGCGTCTCCTCCTCGCCGACAATCTTCACAACACTCCACCCATTCCCCTTGTACAGAATTATCAAATTTCTACTGGTTGCTCCGGATGTGGTTCGTATTGCGGAAGTGATACAACAACGTTGGGCGGTCATGGGCGGACTCTCGGACCCACGGTTTGTTTATATTCCCATTCACGTTGTCGTATCGTCACAATCGTAGATATTTCCTAACAATGGTCGAAGCACTGTAAAAATGAATTATGTTCCAATTTGTCTGACTATATATTTTACGTTATATAAGTACTTTTGAGCTGCTGTTGTAAGACGGATATGCCGTAACTTCTAATAATTAGAATTATTCTATGTAGGTATGTTAAATTAAATTTACTAAAATTCTAATTTAATGCGACAACGTTATTAAACGTTAATAAAATGTGCGAATATTATATCTAACATAATATACATTAGTATATTAAAATTAGGTTAATTGTAGTTATTTATTCAACCATATATCTAACGTTAGCGTGCAAATCAAGTTAATTAACGTCATTTTTAATGACGTATCGCACATTTCCCAAAAGCTGATACAAAAAGATCAGTAGGCGATTATTTAAACAGCAACAAATCACTGCGTGCCCTAATAACGCGCATAAAAATCCATCGTTTTTATTATTAATAACTGGGTAAACGCATGCGACCTACACGAGAATGGTGTGAATGGCGCGCTCAGTTAACAAATAGCAGCTCAAGATCACGATAAAACTGCAATTTTCATTACTAGAAAACGCTTGAGAGCCAAAAAACAGACCGGAATATATTTCACGATGAGTGCTTGAAATTTCATCCAATTTCATGCACATCGAAGGGGCATTTTTCATTGCACAATGCGATAGTTTACTTGTTTACGGCTAACAGTTGTAGTTGGTGTTGTTTTCGATGTTATACGTTATAACTTTTTCCTGCTCCACTAAAAGAGAATGAAATTGCGGATATGTAAGCTCGAAAATGAAATGTATCCGCTAAAATGCTCGTAACACTCGTCGAATATGAATTTATTGAATTGAAAAGTTGCTGTTTCTGATGAACTTCAGTTCCATGTATTCTACAGAAACTGTTGGAACGTATGTTTCTGTAAAGGGCCTCAAGTAATATTAGGCAATTAATACAGTCTATCGAAGTATGTATATGCAAATCCTGCGTAAAAACTTAAAAACAATTTATTCTTGTTCTCATATTTGTCTCTTATTTTTAAAGTTTTTCGCTTTTATTTAAATAATTGGTCAATCCTTATTTCCTTCGATTATTATACCCAATTTTCTTATACCTACTCCACTTAAATGCTATTTACTTTACAAATTGAGTACATCCATACCATAATTAAGCATTTAGAGTAAGCAAGAACGTTTGTTTGTGCCCGTTATTTTTTTGTTTTATGTATACTTACTCCAATTTTGTCGTCGTTTCTCGTTGATATACAGTCGCAACGTAATACGCACAATGAATATCTATTCGTAATCTTCATGTATTACAAACTGCGATATATTTCAAAGCACTTAATACGAGATGTGACTGAAATTCTGAATAGGTACAAAAGTGTCGTCGTTCGAGAGAGCGAATGAAAACTGATACGAATCCGTTGTTCGCAGTTGGAAACAATTAATTTCACTAGAACGCTTTGCAACCATGTCGTATGTATTAATTAATAAAGGTGTATTTGATAATTTCATTAAAGTATGTATGCTCACGAAAGCTTCATTTATGTTCTATTGCGTAATATTATTTATATAGTTTTTGAAACACCTACAAATTAATTTCTAATCATGGATAAGAACTAAATTTTGACTAATTATATTATTAGGGGTATTTATCGTGTTTGTATATTTTCATTATCCAGTAAAGGGCAGTGATACTGAGAAATCCTGCTGTATTAAATTTCGGCACCATATGGTTAAAAAATGTATCGAATATCGATTGTCAGGAAAGATAGCGAACTTTATTGTTCATTATAATACACTGTGTTAAAATGTCTTCCACTTTATTAACTTTTAATAGTTCGTAGGTGTGAAACTGTGAACACAAATAACTCTGTTCTTGTATGAAATTTAATATGGCAGATAAAATAACAAAATTATTAATAAATGATATATATTATCTCGTTATGTCGTTTTTTGTATTGCGTCGGGTTTAGTCAATATTTTGGCACACATTTTGGAACACATGGTATAAAGCCTTTATTGTTAGATAACACAAATTAGGAAATAAATTAGGAAACATATGTAGATTATAAGTAACAACTTGATATAGGTCAAATTTTTTATGCTTTATTCAATTATATCATTATATCCACGTCCTTTTTTTTGACAAAAAATTTATTCCTTGACCAATTCCAAAGAAAACGAGCAAATAATAACCATATGTATATAAAAAAATAAAATGATAACATTATGAATTACTACCACAGCTGTCTAAATGAGTTTGTCATTAAAAGGAATCTCAAAATCTATTTATAATAGCACCAAAATTAATCGCCGCATTCACCAAATGCTACATATTAATTTTTTCTCGACTTGATGAAGGATACCCTTTTTCCGACGAATAATAGTAAATTAAAATACCAGGTACACAAATGAACCGAATAATGCACTGTTATGCGTCCTTTTTTTAACGTAACAGAAATTCACACTTAATTATAAGTGCATCAACGCTAAACCGAATCATTGCCGTTTCTTTTTTTCAATAAAAAGATATGACAGGTATAAAAATGAAACCTTTTATGGGGAACCCCTTTTCATTATTGCCGAGCAGATGTTAGATCTACTAAAATATATAACAATGCGCCAAGGCCCGACGCCTTTAAGCACTTTGCACATACGGATCAAATTTCCATCGACGATATTTCGCAACTGTTATTAGAACAGGACCGTTTCAATGGCATTTGCATTTAGCATGAAATTGTTTTTTCGAAAAACCAAATCGAAATTTCATGTTTCACTTATTTTAATTGCTAAATTTACAATTTTATAGTTCCTTCAGTGGCGTAGACTTTTAACTGCTTTTTAAAAACTTTTTTAAGGCTTTCTTCAGCAAATTTGACGACCTCTTATCTGTGTGGCCAATCAACGAGATTGCTTTATTTAACATACAAAATATTGATTGTGAGCCCATTTATTCTCCAGAATGTGTTGGAAACCGTCTCTCATATTTTTTGAGAGTTAGTAATATACATTTTTTAATTCGCTATGAATATTCAAACAGCATTGCATATTAACGTCAACCATATTTCGAAAATTAATTGCAGACCTACCTCAACGCTACGGGTCTTCGGATCATTGTTAAGAGTCGCAACAATAGAATTGATAAACAACATGTGGATGCATAGGGAAAGAAGTAAAAGAGATATTTTAGATTGGTATTTTTAATTGACTAATAATGAACAATAAATACCGAACCAGACTCTTTGTTTGCGGTAAACATTCATAAATTAGTTATTGTGAAAATCCGGGCGTCGATAAAAGCCGAACAATGGAGCGATTTAGAACAATGACGGAATGCGATCTTTAATTAAATTAATTTTGATAATAGTCTACAGCGAAGGCTTCCCTTGATTATTGAATATGCCTCAAAAACATATCGACTTTGTTCAACAATTTACAACCCTGACGCGACGATGATATTGAATGAAACATTCTAAAATTCTAACAACATGTATATGCATTATTTGTCCGGAATATCCAGCCATAAACCGTCCTCGTATCCCGGGTAAATTGAAATGCAAGCCGGGGATGTTGTTGAGATTTGCCCGAAAGCAACGCCTTAGGTAAGTTGTAACTTCACCGTCCGATACCAATTCGAATTCAACACACACAATACAGACTTATATATTTTATATGCACGATGTTATGAACTTTACCCGAGAGCGGTTTGATTATATTCTTTGAACATGCACAGGGAAAATATATTGTTTGGGCGCTAATGGCCTAAACCTGATTTACACGCTTTTCTGTATATGTATTATTTTAATAATGCAGGTTAAATCTGACTTTATATTCATTATTGAATTATTATAACTTTTAATGAACGTATATACGTTCCTATTTGAAAGCATATATATTTGAAAATGAGAAAAATGTATTAAATGTATAGCTCAATTCTCCCTCACAAAAGTTTAGAATTCTAATTTGAAAATTCTATAAGTATCCTGTGTAATCTACCACTGTACTACGATGTTCTCAAAAGTAACCACAAAAGTATATATAGCCCTAGAAATACTAAATTGTTTGTATAAAAACTCTACCATTCGTCCCATTTAATTAAAAAAAAACAATTTTTATTTCGAATTTGGCAGGTGCTTGCTACAGTCACTGATCACAATGTTTCAACCATTTCGGTACGTTTTTTTACCACTTCTCACATTAAAATCCACAATTTAACGAACATTTGGAAATATTATAAATTCCATATACAGGTGGTCTTGTATAGACGGGTTATTGATGGGGAGATATCATCTAAAATGTTAGTAAATTTCTTACAAAAATTTCTTTGTATAAACCACCCGAAACAAATGATTACGCTTATGAAGGGAATAGCTACCTGAATTCCTCTGGGCGATCGCATTAAATAGCTCTGATATGGGAAGATAACACGGAATGCTTCGAATACTTTTCGAATGTAATTAATGTGTGTGTCTCTAGTTGATGAACTAAATATACAGAGCACGTTTTTTTTAATTCCATCGAATTCCCATCATTTGTGTTCGTATATTATTATGAATTAATGTTTTAATTATGTCTATAACATTCTGCTCTCACGTAAATGATAGCGATATAATTCATATTTCACGTCAATATTTTTCAATTACTTAATCAACCGCTATACCGCAATTCAATCTGATGAAGAAGTTAGTGGAGAGATATTTCCCCTGTTCTATTACATCCGATTACGTTGCATTTTCAACCCTTATTCATACTATTTTTCTCCGCCGTTATCGAAATTGTTTTGATTCCATATGAATCATTTCGATTGGGGGACGGTCCAAAAATCATCTTTGTTTGCTAACTTAACGTCATAAGGCAATGGTAATGAAATTTTCGTTTGGTAATAAAAATGGATAAAGGTTAACACGGAGATTATTTTAAGTTATAAATCAAAATTTTATTAGCCAGGAGTATATTGTATCTGTTACTTTTATTGGTGAGGCAGTTAAGTCTAGGTTACGGCTCGTTGGAAATCGATTCTATTGTATTTTGTTGAAACGTTTGTCATATAAGTGTATCAAATTTAATAAAAAAATATGATACACATATTTTCTCCATACTTTTCGTAAGATATTGGTATATTATAGTATGTTTCGTATTTACACTGTTCCTATATTATGTCAATCTTTTTCCTTAATTCTGAGTAATCCTAATACCACGAAAACACATTTTTCTTTCCACCGGTGATAAATTGACGTTTAACTATCAAGATATTGGATGTATAGAAAGATAAATGCATGAAACGTCCGATAAACGAAAATTGCCTGGCCAATTTCTCATTGCGCTGATTGCCCGCCATTTGTTCGTACACTCCGCAACCGCCGGGAAAGATACCGAGTCCATTATAACTAAGTGCAGAAGGTGATATAGTAAACTGGAATCGGAAACGCTGGAGAAAAGTTCGCGTGCATACCCTTGGACTATTTGTAACAGCACTTGGAATTATTTCTAACGATGTACTTAGCTCCTCCTCGTTGAGAAATGGATCATCTTGAGAAATGCAAATTGCCACTTGCAGTGAGCCTTAGAATCGATGCAACTCATAAGGAATTTAATGAAATTGGATGAAATGTATCTCTGCATTGAATTTTTAAGAAGGCTTAGAAATAATGGAAAAATGAAATTATAAATCGGTAAATTGCGGGAATTTGATGTAACAAATGATTCGAGGGAAGTTTTAGGTCATTAAAAAGTACAAATTGCCAGCGTGCAATTGTAAATTATAATACGAATAAAAAAGAATAAAATGTGATGATGAAGAATAGAACTTTGGAGCGTGCCACGAAAATGGAATTTATACTTACCTATAGTTAAAAATAAAACAAACGGTTAGAAGTAAATATGCATTAAAGGTATATACCGGCAATTTGATGATAATATAATATCTAAATTAGTTTATTGGAATCGAATTTCTCTTTTTTTATATAAATTTGATTGCTTCACCAAATACATGATACGTTTAAAGCATGCTATACCGACATAAATTGATGGAAGCGGTGATAGCTTTAATGTAATTTCTATTTTCGGTTTTATCGGTTAGCTGTAAAAGAGTTTGGAGTTTTATGTTTTATTTGAAAGAGTCTTATTTCACAAGCCATAAACCCGTTTAAAGGCTCACGCGCTTTTTTAATGATATTTTACCATCGACCGTTTTTTGGCAACTACATTATTTCCGCGCAAAAATCAGGAAATCCTCATAAAATTAGATGCTCAATTAAAAACGAGTAATGTCTTTCTATAAAATCGAATCAAATTCTTGAAATCTATCACCGATACTAACCGGATACAACACAACTACCTACTAAGGTCTTTGCTATAAGGGCTTT